CAGACAGCCTTGGCTGGGGGCCAGGGCCTGTCTCCGCGCCGGGATGGCCTGTTACCAAGTCAACATGGCAGGGATGAACGCTGCTGTGCTGCCCCCTGGCGGCGAGGGTGGAACCGAGCGACACACAGACCGGCCTTGCTACGAGCCGCCCGAAGACCCTCTCCCGCCCCCTGAACCAGAGGGTTCGTGCGCCTGCTGGACGCTAAGTTTGGGCAGGGCTGATGGAGAGGTGGCCCGGTCCGGTCCATAGTCGCCTGCCGTCCAGGCGGAGAGCGGCTCTGATTTCGTATTTTGGCGGGGGCGAGAACAGTCCACGCCAGCCGGCCCGCAGTTGGCATTAGGGTCTCCGTGGGTTCTGTCTCCGGCCTCTCACTTCACGGTCTGTGGCGCGGAGGCTTTGAGAAGCTGCCTCTGTGGCCGTCAGGGCTCTGGGTGACCATTCGGACCTCAGTCTTTGCAAACGCACCCTCGGCTCTGGTCCGTTCCGTAGTGTCCTGGTGGGGTCTCCCCTCCTGGGTCCCGAAGCACTCGCCCTGGGGCGGCACTGGCTTTGCAGAGGCTGCCATACTCTGCGGTACCCCTGTGCCTGGACAGCCGTGTCGTCAGCCCGGCGGGTGGATGGGGATGACCCGGTGTCTAGCATCTGGTGTCTAGAAGATGAGCGGTCAGTGGTGGGAGAGGTTGGAGGAAGCCATGGGAGTTGATGGGTGAAAAAGTCAGGGGTGTCGATACGGATAAGACAGGTAAGCTTAGTTGACCCCTTGATGTTTACTTTGATGCACAGAGTGAGAAGGCATGTCCCCCGCACCGTGCCAGACAAATCCCTGTGGGCAGGTTCCACGAGGGCCCTGGAGCAAGGCCGTTGCAGCTGGTTCCATTACGTCGTCAGGTCCACAGCCGGAACGACCGAAAAGCTGACCGCCGGCTGCACTGATCACGACCTTGGTCCTGAGCTGCTTGCCCCACCCCCTCTCTCCATGCCCCTTTATTCAGCCCCAGTTCTCCCAGTCTCTGACGTTATAATTCATCATCCTTTTTAAAAAACTTAATTTCTCTCGTTTCACATTCAGCTTTTCTCCTCCACCACCTCTGCCACCGCCACCGTCATCGTGATCACCATTGTATTGGTTACCATTTTACTGAGGATTCACCTTGTGCCGAGCACTGTGCTGGGCAGTTTTAACGCACTAGTTCAATCAGCCCTTACTGGGACTCTGCGAGGTGGGTCCTCTGTGACTCCCATTTTTGTCGATGAGGAAACCGGTGCCCCCATAGCCTGACCAAGATCACACAGCTCGTAAGTGGTGGGCTGGGGACTGGGATCTATGTTTATTTGATGTCACCGTATTACCTCCTTGTCCTACTATTTCCACAACTACTTGTCCTGCTATGTCCCTCGGTCCGGCCCCATTGGCCTGCATTTCTGCGTAAACCTTGAAAACAGTGACCCGCCCCTGTTGGGGTTCCCCCAGGCAATGGGGTTCCAGCAAGAACTGTCTTGTTTGCCAATCTTTTCAGAGTCAGAGTAGACTCTTGCATGATGATGGGTCAAAAGTGACTCCTGGACACTGTTCGTTCTTAACCTAACTCTGCAGAGGACATGCCTTTTCCAGGGGTGACTTCGGACCCTTTGGGGCCTGGGAGCCGAGGAACTTGAAAGGAACAACTTGGTTCCTAAGTCTTCTGCTTGTCACCTCCATGTGGCAGCAGAGTCTCAGGACCTCCTGCACAGGCTGGGTGTATGTATGTTTCCAAAAGGAGACGGATATTTGTGGGGTAGGGGAGATGGAGAGTTCGTTGGTTGTAGCTGGTGTGTTGTGTGTACGTGTTGTGTGTGTGTCCATATAGAATCTCTTTGGCCTTAACTGTTTTATGTATAGATAATACACATACATCACACGGCAAGGCTGTGTCACGTCGAAACAGCCTGGAGGCCCGGCGTTAGGTGCTGGCACAGGGGACCTCTCCGGTTGACAGGTGTGGCGTGAGGCCACGTGGGGCGTGGAGACTCGCCCACCCCAGGCTCTAGGTTCTCCGTGTCACACGGATCCACTTAAGGGAGGGGGACAGGAGCCCGGGAAAGACGGTGGCCCCTCCGGGTCCTTTCCTTCCTCGTCCTCCGTGGCGCCTGGTCCTGGCAGGGGGGCCGGAGGCCGCTCACAGGAAGCACCGCCCCTGGCAGTGTCTCCCCCGCATGGGGGCGGGGTGCACCCTGCCTGCTCCTTCCCGCTCCTTCCCCTTCAGTGCCGCCCCCGGGACTGGGGTCACATCCCCCTGCCAGGCCAGGGGGAGCCCCTTCGTGCCTTCCGGCTCACCCTGCACGCCTGGACGCGTGCTGCTGCGGCCGTCTGCTGGGGACCAAGGCCTTGAGGACAGCGCAGCCTCGTTTCTCCTGGCCCTGCCCGGGCTGTGCCCGTGCGTGAGCCCGCTCTGCGGGGGACGAGCCGCACAGGGGGACGAGGACCCAGCCCGGGAGCTTTGGGGGGTTTATCTTGGGTGTGTGTGTTGAGAGTTGCTATGTAAGCCTGGGTGGCTGGACGTTCTGGAAGCCTCACCTGGCTTTGCAGGGCACAGCCAGCATGCCAGGCTCCGCAGCCGGACCGGGGTCTCATTAGCATTCAGAGGGGGCCGGGGCCGGGGTGGGGGAGGGGGGCCACCGCGGGCCTCGGGAAGAGACAGGCTGCGTTTTAATTACGACCTGGACGTCTGAACAAATCCTTTCTCTGCTCGTCTGAGCCTCAGAGAAAACAACTTGTGGGAGGTGTGCGCTCGGCAGCTGGGTCCACAGTGGTGCCTGTCCAGCTGTGTGCACATCTGGTACACAGGTGGCGGCCCAGCCGCCTTTCCTCCGAATCACTTTGGGGTTGGGGATGGGGGACAGAGCCAAGGCAGCCGGGTGACCTGGTCCTTCTTCTGGGGAGGGAACTGATGGGGAGGGCGGAGACCAGCGGGCCCGCCCCTGTCCCCTCCTTGGTCCCCCCCTCGGTCCCCACAGACCACGGCCATTTCAGGATTCGAGCTCCGGCCCCTCCCGCCACTTCCTCCAGCTGCTCCCGCGCCCACCCTGAGCCTCCCCTCTCCAGCGCAGGGACGTTTGGGAGTCAGGGACGACATTAAGAAGGGAGGAGAGGGGGGAGATCACCAACGGGGTGAGAGTTAGGCAAGCGCAGATGCCGCCACCTGCGGCTGCCCCCCTGGGAGCAGCAGCCCAGGCCGTGTGACAGTCTGCTCTGGGGAAGGGTCGGGGGAGCGTAGGACAAAGGGCCTTTGCCCGGCCCCTGAAAAGCATCCACCAGTTCGCTCAGGCTGGAAACAGTGACAGGGCCGGGGAACTGGGCTGGGCCCCCAGCACAGGGAGGGGGTGACGGCGGCCGGTGGAGGCACTGGGTGCCCTGAGGCTCAGACACCGTGGGGGCAGCTGGAGAAGGGGGGAGGGCGGGGCAGAGGCTGCTGGGATCTGGGGTCCTGTGTTCGGGGCCTGCCTTGTGCGTGGCGAAGGAGCCAGGCCGGCGCCGTGGACTGTCTGCCAGTCTCCCCCACTTCCCAAGCGGAGACGCAGAGGGAAGGCACGGCGGGCTGGTTCTCAGGCGCCCCCGGTGGCCAGGGCGGGCTGGCGTGGTGGCCCCGGCCTGGGCTGAGGGAGCTGGCCCAGCCCTTCACCCCCGTGCTGTGCTGGACGCCCGGCAGGCTGGCCCCCGCCCGAGGCCAACCCCAGGCCCTTCCCGGAGCCCCGAGCCCCGAGCGGCAGCGGCCTCCCCTCCGCTCGTGCCCACCTGGATGCGCCGCCGCCTTGGGACCCCGGCGCGACGCCCCCACTCTCTGCCCGCTCCCTCTCCGCCCTCTGGGCAGCCTCCGGCGGTGACAGACGTGCACGTGTGCAGGCCCAGGCTGGGACCCGCAGCATCGCCTGGCACGGACCGTGGCCTCGCGTGCTCGACGTCGAGGCGTCGGGCATGGCCTGTGTCGCCCTCGCTCCGTCTCCCGCGGGTGCATCTCCATGGTCGACGCCGCCTGCGTGTTTGCGTGTCTGTGAGTGTGTTTGCTGTCCTTCTCGCTAGCACGTGGGCTCCGCGGGCTCGGGGACTTCGCTTTGTGTAATTTTGTGCCCACTCCTGTGCCGGACACACAGCAGACGCTCGGCGGGGGCTCGCGTGTGCACACGTGCTGCAGGGAGCGGGTCCCGCACCCCTCCTCCCATCAGACACCGGTGCGGCGTCATGCGCAGGGCGCTTCCGAATGCACGAGGGAACGCGTGGCGAGGGGACGAGCACGTGGCCGTGTGGCCGGGCTTCGCCATGGGCGGCCGCCCGCTGCCCTCCTGGCTGCCGCCGCAGGGCCCAGCTCCTCGTTTATTCCCGTTTCCTGTGCTCGTCTCCCTGTGGGAGTTGGGGGGTGGGGGGTCCGTGCCCCTCGCCGCATCCCCTCCGCACGCCGTCTGACCTTCCCATGTTCGTCGACCCCTCTGGCACCTGGCGACAAACACAGGGAGGTTTTCTTTCTCCTGGCGCTACTGCTTTAGAATAGAAGGTAACTCTCTGTTTTGGAAATGGAAGCCGGATGCCGCGGTGAGTGGAGACAGACGTATTTTTGGGGTGCGTCGTCTCTGTGCTTATGCCGAATGCTTCGCCGAGCGCAGTTACGTCCTCGTGAGGCAACTTGAAAAACAAAAACAGACGTAGATCAGCTATAAATGTGAGTCCTTCACCCACGGCCTGGGCCGTTCCTGACCTGGGCCAATGACAGTCCCCTTGGCCTGGACCTACTGTGCGTCAGCTCCCCTTCACATATGTAGTCGACCTACTGTGTGTCAGCTCCCCTTCGCACGTGTGGTCTCGCCCCGCTCGGGGAAGAGATCCTTCGGATTTAAAGACTGCCCTGTCCCAAGCCTCCTCGCCCCGGTTCTTGGCGTCCTTCTGCTGTTCGTGTGGCGGGGGGTGGGGACCTGGGCCCTGGATGGCAGTCTCTCACAGACCCTCCTCCCCTCTGTCCCCTGCTGCCAGGCTGTTTGCTGTCAAATGCGGGGGCTGCTTCGAGGCCATCGCGCCCAACGAGTTTGTGATGCGCGCCCAGAAGACCGTGTACCACCTGGGCTGCTTCTGCTGCTGCGTCTGCGAGCGGCAGCTTCAGAAGGGCGACGAGTTCGTTCTGAAGGACGGGCAGCTGCTGTGCAGAGGGGACTACGAGAAGGAGCGGGAGCTGCTCAGCCTGGTGAGCCCGGCGGCCTCGGACTCAGGTGAGCGCCCGGGGGGGGCGGGGTGTGGAGCGGGGTGGCGGAGGGGGCGTGACAGTCTTCAATGCCTTCTCCAGGAAGGCCAGCGGGGCAGCCCGGCTCCACGGAGGGTGGCTCTGTGCTCCTCAGCAGGGTCCTTTGTGTGCTGGGAGCTACCTCTCACTAGGCAGGCGTTGCCGTGATGTGCTGCGTAACAAAGCGCCCCACATTCTGTGGTAGACCACCAGAGACGCTTGTGCACATGATCACAGTCTGGGGTGCCGGGAGTGACTCCGCTTCAGGCCGAAGGTCTTTGGGTCACCTGGGCTCTGCTGCTCTCAGCTGAGCTCGGCTCCGGGCGGTGGCCAAGTCCACGTCTGCTCCGTGTGGGTCATTCTGGGGCCCAGGCTCGAGGGGCAGCATCTTCCCCTGGCGGCGGCAAAGGCACAAGGAGGTGGCCCCAACCCCACAAGCACACGTCAAGCCTCCGCCCACTCCCCGTCTGCTAAGGCAGCTTACTTAAAGCTCTGAGCCCGTGTCCAGGGCATGGATGCACCTGCGTGCGGCACGGGCCCTGCCAGGGTGTAGGCACGTGACACTGTCGGAGGGAGGGATGAAAGGGACCCATCACTGGCTGCTTCGGCCTCGTTCCCTCATCCGAACCGAGCTCCAGGGCCCCGCGCGGCCCACCCAGGCCCTGTAGGCGCGTCGTGGTCCTCCCGCAGAAAGCTGCAGAACCCTTGGACTCCCCCAGGGCTTTGGTGTGGTGGCGATCGGAACGCCAGCGTGACCTTAGGAAGACACGCACACCCAGAGGGCCATGCGAGAGGACTCGCCCGGGGTCCACGTGACCCCAACGCCTGGTTGGGCCTCCTGGGCCCTCGATTGCATGGGGCTGGATCACTGAGGTCTCAGGGCCACGACGAGGGGAGAAGGGTCACTATTCGGCCTAGAAAAGTGAAGACCAAAGAAGACAGAATTGTTGCCTTGCAGGGGTTGGATCAGACCTATTTTTCTCTAACTTCGGAATTCAGAGCAGCGTTAGGATTCAGTCATTCGATTATTCGACGAAATCGCCGTAGGCAGAACGGGGAAGCGGAACAGTCCGACTCGACGCGGGGAGTGTCCAAGCGTCCTTTGAAGTGTCCTACGAACGAAGAGACACCGTGTGAGGCACGCCCCACCTGCCGAAGCCGCCGCTGCCGAGCTGGCGGGGGAGGGTGCTTCCAGACCGATGTCCCTCTCGGCTCTAAAAATCTATCGTCGTCTCTGCCCCTTTCGATGAGATGACGTTAAAGTCGCAGTCAGAATCAAATGCGCTGTCCGGACCACTCATTCTGCTAGTTACAGTAATCTTCCCTGTCCGGCTTCGTCAAAGGCTTTGTGTGCCAAGTGAGGGGACAAGCTCCGAGTGGACAAGGCTGTCGCTTTCCGCCCCTTTGGCTGCTTAGCAAAGCTTAGTGTGCTGGCAGGAGAGGAAGTGACGGGTGACGGAGCCCGGAGTTCAGCCAGGTCTTCTGGGAAGGGCGTCCACCTGGCAGTGACGTCCACAGGAAGCGGACGGTTCGAGGGTCTGTCGCGGGACACACGCGGTCCCTCCTCTCGTTTCTGTCCCGAGCACTTCACGTGTTACAGGCATTGGGTGCATGTTTGTCGCGTGAATGACTGAATGGCCTGTCACCTTGGACGCTTTTATCAGTGACTCGGAGGAAGACGCAGAAGGCAGGTTTATTCGATTTGCAGATGACATGAACCCGGCAGGGGACACTGGGGTGGTGGCTCAATGTCCCAGGAGAGTTCGACGAGCTGATGGAACGGCACAGAGTCGGCAGGATGACACGTAACCATTGGCTTCCAAACTCCAAAGGCGGCCGTGTGGTTTAGGGCCTGTTTGGATGGAACGTCACATGCAACGCAGTAGCAGCCAGAAGGAACTCTGCCCGCTCAGAACAGTGACGTCCCTAACACGTGGTTAGCGTTCCATCGTTGTTTTTATTTTTTATTTTTTGCCCCGATCAGAGCACATTTGGGATATTGGCCTAATGGCGAATGATGTGTTTTAGGGGGTCACCAGCCAACTAGGGAGAGTCTCGAGGGGAAGGACGAGCTCATTAAATGATAAATAGCTAAAGAAACTCAGCGTATTTAGCTTTATAAAAGTAAAGCTGAAGGAGAAACGAAAGTCACACCCCTGAGGTCAAACCGCGCACGGGGTGAAGGGGCAGACTTTGGTTCAGTATAAAGCAGAACTGTGTCCCACAAGGGGGCAGCCCGGCTGCCCGGAGCTTGTCCTTCCTGTCGGAGCTCCAGGCCAATGCCGGTGACCTCCAGGGCTGGTTTTCTGACGCCGGCCGTTCCGACACACAGAAGCAGGGGACACATCCACGCGAAGGCGGGGCTCCCGATGCTGTGCCTGGCGTGCGGTCGGCACTCGGCATTGGCTCCTGTGTGGATAACTTGACTTTGTCCCGTTCGCATCAGCCTCCGGGGTCCTTAGCCGAGAGCCACCAGCCTCCAGCGGGACTGTCTTCTCCCTGGAGCTGGTGCGACGTCCCCTCACGCACACTGGAGCTGGTGAGTCCTTCTGCCTCCTTCGCTTTCCTGAGGATGTTGCGACGTGCTCGCTCTTCTCCTCGGAGCCAGGTTCATTGCTGCTGGGGTTTACACGCTGGTTTTTATTTCCTTCTAAAATCTTGCCACTGATGTTTTTATTCTTATTATTCATTACGGAAGTATTTCCTTCAACCTATCTTGGAAGTCTTCCTGTTCGCCCATAAATTAGAACAGAGAGGCAGTGAGCCGTGACCTTGCCCGTTCTGGAAAATGCCTGGCTGAACTGTGGGATTTTCTTGTCAGGCCATAGTCATGAATTTCAAAATGCAAGATAGAAAAGGGAAAGTCAGCAGGGGATCTGGCGGGGGGGGGCGGGGGGGGTCTCATCCTCGTGTTGTCGTGCGAAGGGCTTGGGGTCTGATGTCTGTCGGCCTTGCGTTCGCGTCCTGCCCCACGCTCGCGGGCAGTGCGACCTTGGGGAAGTTACTTCCCGTCTCCAGGGCCGTGCTTCCTAATCAGTAAAAACTGGGTTAAAATTCTCCCCGTGTGGTTTGCTGTAGGAAGGCAAAGTGGCCGTGTATCAAGGGCCCGAACTTGGTTGACGCCCAGTAAGCGGCCCGTGCGTGACCGCATCCCTGGCAGCGGCCGGCGTGCGTCTGAGTAGCTCACGCTCTCGAGCGTCAGACCCAAAGACCCGCCGTTTCCGAAACGCCTCACCTCTGTCTTGGCTCTTCCGTTTTAGACGCTTCTGGATAGCTGACCGGAGGGCGTCTCGGGGTGGTACAGAGGGACAGGCCTGGCATTTTGGGCGGTCACGGTGCAGGAGCTGGAAATGGGCCGATTCACGCCTGCGTGTCTCGGAGGTGGTCCCCAGCCTCCCGACGCAGCTGGCGTTGCACCCCGAAAGCTGGTGGGGGAGGCCTGGCGCAGGCGGCCCGCCCTGCGGTCACTTCCAGGCTCGATAGGAGCTTCGGGCTGGACCGGGACGGATGTGCTGGGCTTCGCTGCCCTTCTTTCGCAGACTGGGAAACCGAGGCTCACGGTGGGTTTGGTTCCCACTTCAGCCCCTTCGCGTGCCCCAGCGCCTTCTCGTTCCTGAGCACGACGTTCTCTGGAGCACAGTCTCCTGGGGGTGGGTCTCCCCGTGCCTCTGGGTTGGAGGGCGGCGGCGCATCCCCCCCGAATGAATCGCTGTTGGAGGGGATCACACTCCTCTCCTGACACTGAACCCGACAGTCCCCGCTGGTGGGCGCGTCGTGTCCCCGGAGAGGCCCGTCGGCGTGGCTCCGTTACAGGCCGCGATGTCTTTATGTCCTTCCCGACGGCCCCTTCCCAGCCCTCAATTCCACAGACGTCCCCTACAGAGCCGTGTGCAGTCAGGCTCTGCGCGGGATGCTGGGCTTCGCTGCAGGGAAAGGCGGACGGAAACGTGCGTGAATACCGAGGAACGCGCGAGGAAGACACGTCGGAGCCGGCCGCCTGACCTCGGGGCCAGCGGGGCCAGCTTCGTGCTATGAAGGGGCGGGGAGCTGGGGAGAGGGACGCGGCCTACAGACCCGTCTCCTTATCCTTTCTTTTAAGAAACAAAGGGGCAGGCCCTTAACAACAGCAACAACAACAAAAACACCTTGAATAGGGGTTAAAATACTCTGATAAACGTTATAGTTGTTAAGAAATCTATTTGAATCATATTTTATGTTTTCCTTGAAAGCAGTTTTGTCGGAGGACCCTCCTCTACAACACCATATTCTAGAAAATGTTAACTGCAGCTGGGTAACCAACACTTTTTTTTTATCATGACCTAATATACGCATCCGTACGTGTACGTATCAGATAAAAGTGACAGCACGTAGATGGACTCCGTGCTCGCCCTAGGCGTGGACTTTTTCTAGTCTGTTCATTTCTTAATTCTGGTCTTAGCCCATTCTGTGAATTTGATAACCCACTGGCAGATGATGCCTCGACGTTTGGAAACCACAGCTTCAAAGGACGATTACTTACAAACTTAGCCCCAAGTTCTGGAATTGGTATAAATTCTTCAAATTTCAAGCCAGTAAACAGATTTCAGCTTTCCACATGTATCGGACAGTGTCGGCTGCCCAGAATAAGACCAAAGACACAGAGGTTATCATTTGGCCCCAAAACCCTGGCACAGCGCCCCACACGGAGTAAACACGCAGCGATCGTCATCGTCCTCTTAGAAGGAGACACGCAGAGCGTGCATTCTTATGTCGTGACTCGCACGCACGAAGGTCCTGGTGGACGTTCTCTGATTTATGAATCTGGCGTCCCTGGGTGGTAGGCGAGAGGCAGATGTAAGTGCCTGAGCCTTTCGGGTCGTTTTCAAAATCAGCTTGTGTCTCTTGTTAGCATCATGGCCATGAAACAGACAGCTGGGGTGGTTCGCTGCTCTCCTTCTGAGGCTGGGCACTTCTTGTGTGTTCTGAACCTCTGTCTTCTCGTGTGTTTGT